TTGACTTCGAGATAATCTATCGACCGGGTCGACAAAACGCGGTAGCTGACGCGTTATCCCGACGAATGGACGTGGCCGAGTTAAATGCGATCACGGGACCTACTTGGGCCATTTGGGAAGAGATCTGGAAGGCGCAAGCAGAAGATACCCATTGCCAGGAGTTGCGCCGATCAATAGAAGCAGGAAAGTCAACTGCTATCGACTACGAGCTGCATAACGATCTACTTCTACACCGAGGACGAGTCTATGTCCCCGATAGTGGGCAGATACGCGAGCAGATCTTGCAGCATTTCCATGACTCCAAGATTGGAGGTCACTCGGGTATTTATCACACGTGGATGCGAATAGCCAACACCTTTTTCTGGCCAGGGCAGCAAGGTACCGTTCGGGACTACATAGTACGATGCGACGATTGTCAGCGTACTAAGTCTGACTCACGACGGCCAGGTGGGCTGTTACAACCCTTGCCGGTACCCGAGGCAATATGGGAAGACATCACCATGGATTTCATCGAGGGCCTACCAAATTCTAATGGGTTTGACGGTGTTATGGTTGTGGTGGATCGACTCACGAAGTACGCTCACTTCATACCCATTACCCATCCCTACACCGCAAAGTCAATTGCCAGGTTATTTGTGGAGTATGTGATGAAACTGCATGGAGCACCTTGATCTATCGTTTCTGATCGAGACCGGATTTTTATGAGTAGTTTTTGGTCCGAATTCTTCAAGTTGCAAGGGACTAAATTGTCTATGAGCTCAGCCTACCATCCACAGACAGACGGACAAACTGAGGTAACTAACCGAACACTTGAGCAGTACCTAAGGTGCTATGTACATCAATTTCCGAAGAGGTGGGAAAACTTCTTACCGTGGGCTGAGTATTGGTACAACACCACCTACCACGAGTCGACCAAGATGACACCGTTCGAGTTAGTGTACGGGCGAAAACCCCCAACACTGATCAATTACTCGGAGGGGAGCACAGTCAACGATGAGGTTGGTCGTGAGCTTGAGGAACGAGATTTGATGCTGCGAGAACTGAAGAGAAATCTTGAAGGCTCGATTAATCGGACCAAGTCCTTCGCCGACGGGAAGAGGCGTGAGGAAAATTTTGTACCCGGAGAGTACGTCTCTCTGAAGCTTCGACCATTCAGACAACGCACAACTGCGCAAAGGGCAGCTACTAAGTTGGGCGTTCGTTATTATGGGCCGTATCAGATTTTGAAACGCATTGGTCAGGTAGCTTATCGTTTGGAGTTACCCGAAAATTTGCAGATCCACCCGGTTATACATGTATCACAGCTCAAAAGAAGCCTAGGAGAAGCGCAGAAGTACTGTGAGGAGCTACCAGCAACGGCAACCGACGGTCGAGCTATAGTGCGCCCAAAACGAGCAATTGAGTACCGTAAAGTAAAGAGGGCATGGCAATATCGTTGGGAGGTGCTTGTTGACTGGGAAGAACTTTTGACAGAAGAAGCCACGTGGGAGGATCTTGAAGAGATACGTGATCAATTCCCGAACTTTATCCTTGAGGACAAGGAATCACTTGAAGGGGACGGGAATGATGCGGAAGTGGCTAGGCAGCTCAAGAACGCCACAAGTCGGGCTTACCATGCGCGCAGGAGACAGGCACGAGCAACGGTGGAAGTGCGCGTACTGGAGAGGAGCGCGCGAGAAACGGG